TATGTATAGTTTCCTCAACTGTATTTTTTTATTCCATGTTAGCCTGTGTATATGTAGGTTTTGTGTGCATTGGCTGTTACTTGTGCACAGTCAGTACCTGTTGGATCTAGTTCTAGTTTTGACTCCAGTAAATAGCAAGGAAACAGACAGAATCCCCTTGATCATCAGAAGACAACCCCAGTTATTGATGCTGAGGAAAATCTGATGTCACTTATTGATACCTTGCCAACACAATGGAGAAGGCAATCAACTGATACGTGTTGAAACAGCATTTATAATTCACCAATGGCACTGTACGTTAGAAGATTCACATCAGCTGAACAGGAATGGTCTGCATCAGTTTCTGCTCCCACCTGCCCTTTTTATTTCTTGGGTGAGTTGATCGCAAGTGCTGCTTGCCTGGCACCATTCACAAGGGTTTACTCACTTCTGGAGCAGGATGCAATTAAAATTGCAGCAGGCTAATTGGCAGCATCCACTAATTTGACTACAATTGCCCAAAGCAAAAGGATGTGTTTTTCCCGCTTTACATATTATTACACAATAAATGTACTTTCTTCCTTCCTGTTTTCATTCCTCTTGCGCAACATCCTGCTAAGCAGTCTCCATCTGCTTCCTATGTCTCTGGATATGAGCAGTCACAGATACTTTTTATCTGACATTCCAGACTCCAAAAAAGTCTCTCCAAGTTGTCATCTTGTGGAAGTTTCAGTCCATTTTAGAAGTTTTGTTTCTGTTTTCAAACTAGAGCTTCTGAATGCTGTCTTGGCTGGTTCAGAACAATGCATGCTCCTGTGCCACATGCTCAGTCTAGCAGTTTCCAGACTAAGTTTGAAAGCCTGAACCCCATGGTCTGTTTTTTGACATTATTATAAATCCTTTACTCTAATGTTCCTGAGTTCTAGTGGTAACTCCCTTCCAACCCAATATGAATGTGTCCAGGAGATGGAGGAGCAGGGTGACTCTTATTCTCTGTTTATGGTTTAGGAAACCGGGATCAATGGCAGGCAGTCTGAATTGCTCAGCAGTTTTGATCTAGGATATGAGAGTAGTTAAAACTGAATGCTGTTCTTCATCATTAATGCCTGATGTCTGGAAAAGGGTAGAAAAACATGGCTTGTTCCAGGGAGATGCGATAGAGTTGGTAGTATCAGTGAGTTGAAATGTTCAGTAGGGCAGGGAGCCCAGACTGAGAGTCTGTGTATTTGTGTATTTCTTTTTCCTTTTCTTTGCATTTTTAATTTTGAACTATGCATTGTCTTATAGAACATCTACTTACAATGCAAAGTGCTGTGTTTTCCTTGCCCTTCTTGCTTGCTCTTCCTCCAGGTCAGAGATGAAATATTATCAGAACAGTATAATAAATGTGCATCCATGCACAATGATTTCCCCTCAAGATATAGATAAAGATCTTGTGAGGGTCTTGTCTGTCTTTCACCTTTCAAGATCACAGAGTCTTCTCCTGAAATGAAGGGAGTAAAGATGTTGTGAAAATGAATTACTATGAAAGCAAAAAAAAAGAAAAGCAGCAGAAGATAGAGACTGTGTAACCACTGCGTCCTTCCTAATGGGATTCAGAGGTAGTTTGAATTCTTAATTGGCCAATGATCCCGTGTCAGCTGCAACATTAGCTGCAGGCTTCCCATTTCAAAAACTGCCTTTGCAGCAGTCAGGGAACATGTCAGCAGGAAAAAATGACCTTTTCTGTCACTTCTGGCTGCATCCTCTTTTCTCAGCGTTTTTTCATCTGAGTGGTGATAAATGAATAGAGATGGTGGAGGATGTTGATTTAGCATCGTTTGTCACAGCGCGACTGCTTTTGTTTTTGTTTGGTTTGTGCCATTTGGAATTTGTGCACATCCCAAACAAAGCTGAGCTGTGCCTAGAGCCTGAGGTGTGACCACACAACAGGAAAAATGTTTTCAAGCTATGTTTAGGGTTTCTAAGGGTTATTAAATACTCTTTCCTTTGTAACTCTCTAAAATAGAGCTGTTTGTCAGTCAGAGAGCAATGAAACTCCTTCCCAAGCAGTCTGCTCTGTGGGTTCCACTTGACTGTACTGAACACACAAGGTTCTGTCACAGAATGCTGACATCCTCCTCATCATGTTTAGGTTGCTAAGTTGTTCTGAACAGTGTATTCTTCAAGTGTCCTTGAAAGACAGAAGCCATAGAAAATGTACAGCTGTAAAGGTGTCTGTTTTTCTTCTCGTATTGCTGCACCTGAGTGGTTGTTGCAGTGTGATTTCAAGACCAGCACAGTTACCACGTGGGATGAGGAACAGCTTTACAGTCTGTGTGCATGTTTGCAAGAGTGTTCTAGGACCTACGTTAACATCTTGTTTTTTCCATTACCTAACTTCTTTTGCATTCTTCACGTAAAGCTTCTCCAGACAGAAAGGACTTGAGGATGTTTATTGAAAACACCTGTGTTCACGAGGCAGATGCACTGCAAAGCACTGCCATCATCATTGCGGGTGGGAGCAGACATAAAGAAACAGCATTGATTGTGGATTTGTTTTGCAGTCAGAGGCTTTGAATCGAAGAGAACTGGTTTGGGAGAAGGAAGGACAACTGAAGCTTTACTTTACAGGCTTGTTATCTACCTGCAGATAACAGGAGCTTGTTTTGCTTTTGGATCGCAGGAGATTGGTTTGTGAGCTTTTCCACTCGAAGTACAGTGTTCAGCAAGCAGAGGAATACTGGGAGATGCTGTATACTGATCTCTTTGTTGTTGTGCTGAAAAGAACCATCATGCTTGTCAAAACTAATTAAGGAAAGAAGTAGATGGTATTGGAAAGGAAATTCAAGCTAGACTGACATACTTCAAGAGATTCCTATCCTTACTTGGTGCTTTCGTAATAGGAATTTTAAGTGGAGGGAATCCACAGAGTCTGGATAGTAATAACAATAATTATAGTAACAATAATAATTTTGGCTTTTATTCAGAAATGCTTAGGTTCCCCTAATTCCAGTTGCTTTTAAAATGGATAGCATTCTGATGGTTTTTCTTCTGGGCCAGGAGTGGGAGGAGCCCAGGAGATGCCAAGCGGAATGGTGACAGCTTGGCATTGCTGACATGGCCAATGGCTCTGTGTAAAAGGCTGGCATCTGGCTTCCAGAATAACACTGTAGAGTGTAGCCTCTGGAGTGACAGCTAGACAGCCTGCTGGGAAGGGCTATTGGGTTGATTCTTGATGTGCTCTCAACTCTATCAAAAAGTGCTGAAATTACTGGCCCCTTTGATAAAGTTGTGATGCAGATACAGTGGTAAGCTTATACCTCCATCTGCGTGCCATAAATGAGAGTTGTGATTGCTGAACAACTGAGATTATAGAATTTATAGCTACTTATGGGAAAAAGGCAGAAGAATTTTGCTGTGGACATGCTCTTTCTGTGCATTGGTAATGTATTTTGCTCTATCTCATAATGTTTTTCATTGACATTTTAAGGAATGTCTTACCTGTCTTACTGTCACTTTTAACTGTGCCCAGATCTTTCAGAAGATTTGACCCCAACAATTATGTGGTCGTAGGGACTCCGGCCTTTTCTGACATTCTTACTGATAATGAACAGCATTTTCTTCCTTGTGGCATCACCTTGAAACTGATGGAAGAGATTAAGGAATAGGCTATTTCTTACTGGGAGTGGAGTGATGAAAACTGCCTGTGTGGCTTTGTTTTTGCTTTGTTGGTTTTTGCCACAGTTCACAGTGTGCTGAGAATGGGTTCACTGTTAACATGAAGCTCTGGTTAATGAGATGAGCCACTTTCAGTTACCTGTACTCTGGATCATAGTGCAGTTATTTTGGCATTTGCAGCACTGGCTGATCTTAGCCGAATTCTGGGGCGTATGTAAGCTTCTTGTTCTAATTGCTCTGCTTTTTCAGCTCCACAAAAATTTATCAGAGCATCTGTGTTTTGTATGTCTTTTTTTTTCTTTTCTTTTTTTTTTTTTTTTTCTTTTTTTCTGGAATGTTTTAGCTGTTGATGCCCCAAGGATTAAGCAGCAAAAGATTGTGATGGAAGTGCTTCGTACCATTAGGGAATTGTGAATGTTGGTTGGCTCGGAGGGAATCTATTATTTACAATCTACTGTATCAAATTCAGCTTCCACCAAATTAGAAACTGATTTTTGTCGTTGTCCCTTTTTAATCTAATCCCTTGGTTAACTCAGGAGAAGCAGCTCCATAAATCACGTGGACATCTATGGATTTTTTTTCCCCTGCCAGCCATTGCTAGGACTAAATGTTCATCTCCTAGTGATTCTTATCAGCCAGAACACTAAGAATAACATTTCTGTTCTGGGCTTGACTTTCCCTTTGCCAAGAGGAAAACTGTCTTTGTAGTGTGTCTTGCAAAATGTTTTTAGGGAATAAAAGAAAAATGCACATGAAGATTTGACTTGAGGTGTTCAGCCCCTATGGTTTAGAGAAACTCATGCCTTATTTCATGATTATCAGGGGTTATGACATGGAGTGAATAATGAATACTGGCTTGCAATTTCTTATCTGAAGTTTACCACACATGTGTACCTGATTTGAAGATGGGTAAACTGAGATAAACAGTAGCAAGATTACCCAGCAAACAATTCTCACCATGCTATTCAGCTGAGTAAAACCCCTTTTTAATTTGCTATCTATAAGTGTTTGTCTGCTGTTTCCTCATCTTTCTTGCAGTATGAAAATAGAGCTCTCATTTGACTGAATCTTGTGCTAGCTAGCTTTGCCACCACAGAAATGGCTGCTGTAGTCTTGCTCCTGCAGGCAAGGGACAGGCAGGCTCATTCACCAGCATCTGGGAAGGTAGGTTAAATTTAGCAGTTGGCTCCTGAGAGCAGGCTACATAGAAACAGAGACTACAAAGAGGGCAGAAGGCAGGGATCTACATGCCTGGTATCACAAAGTTGCATGGTTTTGCTAGTCCACACTCTCTGTCCATCTGACTGCAGCCTTTTAGCTCACCTCCTTACTACTTTTCTTTTTTTCTGTCTTTCTCCCAGGTCTGTGACGGGTTTGGATAAAGAACCAGACCTTGTACACATGGAAGCCCGGACAGCTGATGGACGTGAGTGCCTGCAGTCAATGTTGAAAAATTGCACTTTGAGTCAAGAATGGAGTGGGAATTGAAATTCACTTTGCTCATTTTGTCTTTGCATTTACATTTTAATTGATAGGAAAAATGTGTATCATGGGGTTCGATGTGAGGCATATTCTTATCCTTTAAATCTGGGGGGAATTCAGAGGCTGAAAGATGTGCGTCTGTGGAGAACCTGGGTGGAAGCACAATCTGTTGGGCTAAGAAACAGTCTGTGCTGTTCACTGTTTAGCTGTTTTCAGTATCACGTATTTTATGTGATACACGTATAAATCATAAACAGCTGTGCTGCCAGTGCTGTGCAGTACAGCCTCTATGTGTTTCCAGAGGTGTTCACAACAGCTCAGTTTTACTGAGGAGTCTGAAAAATTGCTTATAGTCAGACTTCTCTAACTAAGATGTCCCTATGCCCCAAGTACCCTTTGACTCATTTTGAAAGGACTTTTTAGTTTTGCGTAGGATGTATGAATATGTCCTCCATATTGGAAACATGCCTGGAAAAATTGCCTGTATTTGAGGTAATAAATGGGAAAAAGAAAAACAAACAAACAAAAATCTTAATCCCTCACTGAAATGAATCTAGCCGTAGATTCCTGTGAAACTAACCTCCAGCAAATAAAATGTGTATTGAAGTTGAATTTTTCCACCACTGTTTACACTGTTTAGGCATTTCATGCAGGAATTTTAGCATGGTAATGCATCTCCTGTAACAGAACCAGTGTTATTCCAGCTCAATGCTATCCAGCTATGGGATGTGTCCCTTTTATGCTACAGGGACAGTGTAGAAAAGCAGCATAGGACTGAGGTTGCAAATTTCTAGGGGGAAAAGGGTTTCATTTTTGTTGGTTACAAATTTTCTGTTTAGTTGAATGCTGCATAGGCCAGATGCTGTGCGAACAAGCTCCTGTCTGTCAGGGTGACTTCTCTGAGGCTGTGGATCTTCCAAAATCATTCATAGGCCTCCCACTGCTATTTAGTGATGGCAGCTGAATAAATAACCAGGCAATAAAGCTTTGGGGTGACAGCTGTTTGTTAAGTATGGGGAAAGAGCAAAACAAGCTTGCAGGTGGGTGGGCAAGGTAGGGAGGCTTCTTCAGTGCTTTTGCTGCTGCATATGTTATTGTAGAGATGCTAGCAAAAGTGGCAAAAAGCAAGTGAAAAAGTAAGCAAGTAAGTAAACAAAATGCTGATGAAGTCTGTTTTCAAACTAAGTTTAAACTAGCTCAGCCAGCTATTTGAATACTGGATGCGTCAAGGCTGAACATGCTTCATTTGAAAGATGCTTCCCCAGTTCCCAGACAGCTCTCTTCCTTCGGGCCTTGTTTGCTTGGGGCGTGCTGTTTGTTCTTGTTTTATGTATAAATTCAGCATTTTGAAATTGGCAGTTGATGGCATTGAGGGTTTCCCTGAGAGTCAGACTTGAACAGTAGTGTTAGCAATATAGGCCCATAGCAAGGCATTGTCCCTTTAGGAGGGCCCCAATGGGCTGTACTGGCCCCGCTGGTGTGTCCCGCTGGGGGACTGCAGTGAAAAGTCTCCTCTCCCAGCCAAGCATAGCACAAAAGAACTATGTTGCTCTAATTAGACTTTTTAAGGCTTAAAACAATATTAGCTTGTGTTAGAAAACATTGGCTGCCTCACAGCTATGGTCTCACCTGGTGTGAAATGGTGCAGCTCTGTGTGCTTATGAACCACAGGCTGAGCTTTTCTCCTGGCTGGCTCCGTAACAAAAATGGTACTTCATGCTCTCAGTGAAGACACTGAGGCATTTATACCTGCTGGAAAATGGGTCTCTGCAATTATCTCCTCTTGATCAAAAAGTTTGTGACTAAAGTTTTCTTAAGTGGTTGGCAGAAGGAAGAGAAGGCTTTTTTTTTTTTTTAATTCCTCTCAGATTGGTCTGTGGCTCAGTACTTAACCGACGTATTAAGAGACATAGATTTGATTATTCCCACTGCTCAGCTCAAGTTGGGAACTCGAATTCCTGTCTGTAATATCCCTGACAATTTTAAAAGTATGCAGTTCTTCTAGAGGTGGCATTTGTCTTTTACTCTTTCTTTTTTTCCTTTTTTTTTTTTTTCCTTTTAATGTGTGATATTTAGAATTACAATCGTGAATTTGACTTCTTCTTCCTTCTCTAACAGCAATTACTCATGGGATTCAAGACCTGATCTATATTGATTCAGAACTGGAGCTTAGAATACACGTGTGCTGGGACATAGTAGAATATCATTCATCCATAAATGAGTCAGGGCTATCATCGAACTCATGGAGTTGGGAGGTGGAAGTCCTATCCTGTTTTCCCTTTTCCATAGGTGCAACCTTGTTCCTTGGGTTTTGTCTTTCTGGTCATTAGGAATGTTAACATCTTCAAAAATTATCTTCCCCAGCATCCACGTCCCAGTAAATATCTGTAAGATGCTGTTAATTCCAGTGCCTGGCTGATCTCAAACTGTTTCTGTCTTTTGCAGCAGATGAAATTTTTTCACTTTTTTTTTTTTTTTTTTTTTGACACATTGACAGACCTATTGTTGCTGAATGATAATCTAGGCCTGTATTTCTAAAATTTAAGAGCAAGTAGGAGCCTTAGGTACTGTACTTTTGGCTTGGGTGTCATAGGAGGAAGGACAGGACTGAGAGCAAGGGAAATATTACAGATATAGGGACACAGTCTCCCACCAGTGCTCCTGAGAACAATCAGTTCCTGATGTTTGCTGTGATAATTTCCCTGCTCACAGGTATGATGCAATAAACAGTATTTCGATTAAAGGGAAAAGAGTAAATTTGGAAAAAACAAAACAAAACAAAAAAAAACCCTTGAAAGATTGAAGAAGTCAGTGGTTACTAATTCCTAGGGAGTAATTTCCAGTCCTGTCTATACATTCCTGCATCCTCTTTTCCAGCCATTTTTTTCCTCTTTCCTTGGAAAACTTCTCTGTCAGACTGATTTTAATCTGAGCCGGTCTGCCAGAACAAGTTCTTTCCCTCAGCTACCCTTCTTCTTATTAGCCATACTGGCTAGCCGTGCCTTCTCCATTTGGCTTGTTAATGATGCCTGGAGGAGCAGGCCATGCTAAGAGCCTGTGCTGCTCTGTGTCACCGCAAGTCACAGTAACCTGCCACACAGATCTATCACAGTGGCAGGTTTGACTTCTCCAGATTCTCCCTTAAGGGATCACATCCTTGGGTTTCACCCACAAGAGAGCCTCCTGGGTGCCTTCTTCCCCCTAGAGTTACTCAGTCATGGCTGGTGGGCAAAGAAGGGACTTTGTGGCTGTCTTAACTTGCACATTTCACTGCAAATTTCAAGAATTTACTTCAGCTTTATCACTTCTAAAAAGAGTATAAATACACTCTGAATTCTTAAGATGGGAGACCGTGTTAATTAGCAATGGGGAAGTGTTTTGAGCTCCTTAGCTGGGAAATGGATATACCTCTGAAAAAGCCATTCCCTAATCTGGAGTGTGATAAGTTTGTGGGAAGGGTTGTGCGGAGGTGTGGATGTTGGGAGCTGCAGCAGAACGTCTGGGCTGCTCAGTGTCCATATTATCTCATTCACAGATGGGCTGAGAAAGTAACTGGATATTGGGTTATAAGCACAAGAAGTTTTGAGGCCAGCTAGGAAATCTCAACTCTTTTTGTACTGAAAAGGAAGAAGGGGTGGGGAAAAAAAGTCTCTAATTCTGATGTTGTATGGAACATTATACAAACTGGAAATAATCCTCAAATCAAAGCCAACTTTTTATAAGGCATGCATCCTCCAGGGAAAGGTTAGCAAGACTTTACAAGGTTAGTGCCTAGCTTGGGCATGTGCCATACTTTTTCTTTGTGGCTCTGCAAAAAAGGGATGAAAATTGAGCTCCCTTCAGAGAAGAGGGACATAACAGCTTTGATGGTAGATGTTCCTTTCTTTTTTATTTTATTTTTTTGGGTTTTTTTTTTTTTTTTTTTTTTTGCCCAATCCTATCTATACAGGTGAAGATATGCTCTGTAAATAAGAGCATAGTCCTCAAGGAATCTTACCCTTCAGGTAGCTTGGATAGGGACTTCAGATTGTTTCCTGCTTTCAGCAGTACTCAAACGGGTACTGAATGCTGGGTGAATAATGCAGGGGCAACTTGAATGTTAGTAAGGAGATGCTGATTATTTTAGAAAATGGTAGCGTAAGGTCTTCTGAAATTACTGCTTTAGAATTTGGCTCCCCAGCTTCTGTTCACTTGAAGATAACCAGCCTTCCTGGCCTTGAAATTTTTCCCTTTGCATTTTCTGAGAGTTTTGCCATATCCTAGCCTTAACTGTTGGTTTGGGTTTTCTCTAGTTTGATCCTCTGGCCTTGCAAAATGTCCACTTGGACCTCTGTTATGCTGGATGACTTTTTTTTCTTGTCCAGAAGTTACTATTTGTTATACTCTGTCATTTTTTTACCTGATTTTTAAGATGCTGTAAAAGGAATCATTTTTCATTTTCTGTGGAACATCAGAAAGAAACTCAAAATTGAACTTAGTTTTGAACCAAAAGGCAGACAAGTTTGAAGACAAATTTTTTCTTCTGTTTGTTTTTTTTTTTTTTTTTTTTCCCCTCCAGATTTTGTGTTGTAAAATACATGAAAATAAGTAAACAAGAGACTAAGCAGAAAATGGGTAGGACACGACTCCCCTTCTCCACCACCAGCTTCCTATGAATATTAATCTGGTGCCATTCTTTGAGTGTATTTGATTGCTGGTGTAGCACACTCAAAATGACACATTTCTCAGTAGGCAGGAAGCTAGTTGTCATGTCAACACTTGTGGTTTATTTGCATTTATTTGTGACAGGTTTTTATTCCTCCTCCCATTCTGTCACTCAACAGCAGCAAATTATCCCCTTTTTCAGAGGGATAAGAATATCCAGGCGACTGTGTGGGAGAACATACTGGAGGGAATGAGCTTCTAAAAATACAGCTCCTGACCTTTCCTCCTTCTGCCTAATTTTAGTGCTACCTCAAAGAACAAATCAGGGCTGCTGAGCTCTTTGGGTTGAATGGAGATATGGGGAACCTTCCTGTTTTCTGAGAAGTTCCTTCAATGTCTTGGATTCCATGTGCAGGACATAAATAGCAACTCCAGACCAAGTCTGGACACGTCAGTTGATGGAAAGCCTTAATTTATCCCAACTGGGAATCTGACTTCTTTGCTGCTGCTGGAATTTTGTGTTGGAAGAAAGCACAACTCCTCTGATACTCCAGTTATTTGGCACTGTCTCTAGGTCAGACATATTCTAGTGTATGCCATATGCATTAATTATCCCTAGATAATTGGCAGCTGGAACTGGCAACCATTGCTGCTGCTTCAGCATCATCAGTGGGACTGCCTTTCATTTCAGCACCAGAATTAGCTGTGTAGCCTTTATTAACCTGGAATTCCCAGTGCATCTAACAGGTCTGCAGCCTTGAACCATGGACCTTCATTCCGTGACGCTAGTCGTGAACTTCTATTAGATTCAAGTTTAATGGTTGTTTGTGGCATTTTTTAGAGTCAATATCTTTTACTTGCTTTGTTTTTACTTTGCATTCTTAGAGTCAGTAAGTGGGACTTGGTGATGGAAGGCAAAACTGCCAAACTTGGAAAAATTTGTTTTTGAACCTGAAATGGTAGTTAGCAGTGTCAGAGAATCTCAGCTGTGCCCCTCACTGCTTTTCAGTTAAACACATTTTGCTGTTTCCAAAGACACAGACAAAGGACAATAACAAGTTTATGGGATCGAGAATCCTGTAAGCAGCTTTGCTAGGCTACTCCTCTTTTGAAGTTCCCTTTTATCTTTTTGGGCGCAGTTCAGCAAGATCCTTACTAATAGGTGCCGTCATTGGAACTAAAAGCGCTGCATCAATCTCACCTCAGCCATTATAAGCTTAGCTTTCTTCCTGTATGGTATGTTCTCACCCTTTGTGGGAAAGTCAACAAGTGCTTGAAGCTAAGAAGTCTGTAAAAGGGCTGCAGTGTAAAAGATATGGCCCTTTTATCACTGCAGCCATCATTTTAGTTGTATTTTCGTTTTCTTCCTAATTTGCACTTCTCAGAAGAACAGTTGAAAGGCAGAGATGACATATTTAGATTACATACATCCAGAGACACAGGGCTGTGCTGTGATGGTTGTGTTTCACAATTTTTTTTCTTAGCTTGAGTGAAACAATGCTTAATCTCCTGTAAATCCCTGCCAAATTGTTGGAAGTGATCCTGTCTCTGCTTAACCACTGAGCATCTGGCTATATGACTTCCTTCTTATCCAAGCCCCTTTCTTGTAGCACCTTGACTGCCTTATGCCTTTTTTTTCTTCATATGCTCCTTCCACTCTTATTCCTTCTCTCAAGCAATGCCAAGGACTGATAGGGCATCTCTCCAGACACAAGCATTTATCAGTTTTGTGCCACGTTAATTATTTGTATCCTTCATTTCTGATTTGAACTCTACTTGCCTCAGGAATGTCTGCACAATGGGGAGGGGAACAGTGGGTGTGGAAATGTGATAAATTCCTGATCCCAGTGAACACTCATGATTTTAAAAGATGTAAGTAGATCTTATGCTAATGTTTAGGGAGCTGGAGATGAGATTAAGACTTCCCATTAGAGACCTTCTTTTGAACTGCTGATGATGTTTTCAGACAGCAGGCTCCTGTATGGCCGTTTCTCATGTGTACATATTCTCCCATTACAGACACCCACTATTTGACCTGTCGGATCCAGGAGTGCTCAGAGACCAAAAGGAGTGGGCCATTTTCACGCTCCATTGACATCAACTCCCTTGTTGTTCAGGATGAATATATCTTCATCCAGGTACGTTGACTTGATAAGAACATGACATGAATTCTGCCTGCGCAAGTTATTTGTTCTGTGCAAGAGAGAAGGCATATTTTTAGGACAAGTGCATGTGATCACAAATCACAAGAGCAGGGAGTGAATGTGTACCTGCCTGTTGTAGATTGGCTATGCAGTCTGAAGCAAAACAATTGATATCTCTGTTACTCATTTGTCTCATGCTGAATCTGATATATTTTGAAAGTTCACTCATCAATAATCATGAGAGTCCATGTGTGTCACAGAAACTTTAACTTGCTATTGTTGTGTCTACTTGAAAAATGCAAATAAGCTATTGATGAACTGAAAAGAACAGAGAAGAGCAAAGGAGAGGAGTGAATGATCATTTTAACAAATGGAAAGGTTTATGCTAATTTGACAGACAAGTAATGCTAATGGATTGAACAAAGATTTGCAGTGAGAGGTAAACAGCAGAGAGATTGAAAAAAGATGTTACAGGGCACCTTCAAAGTAGAAGATGGCTGTAAATTTGCAAGCCATTGATGATGGTTTTGTAGATGAGGAGAAAGTGACAACTTAAATGAGAATCTACCTGTTTATGAGGTTTTCTAAAAAAATGGAATGTGGCCATCTCTCCCTATTTCTTATCTATGGAACTGTGAGAATGAATCATATGATATGAAGAGTAATTCCTGAAGATGTGCCAAAAGTGAAGACTGTACTCTATGTTGCAGTAATTTTAGGATATAGAAAAGTCTGGAGTCAGGGATTACATGCATGCTGATGGTAACCAGTTGTCCCACTTGCTGAATAGGGTGAATGAAATGAGATGAAGCTTTGAGCCAGGTGGTAAAGGAAAGATACATACTTCTTTTTTGACTAAGACTGGCTTAAACTAAGCTCCTGTTTCTCATTCTTGAGGGAACATTTTTCTTGAATGCATCCAAATTGGAAGTTCTGCTCCATTTATTGTGAAATTGTGAGTTTACTGGGAAGGCTGATAAATTCTGCAATGGGATTAGGTGGACGATTGCATCCATATGACCTGGGAAGACTGCAATATGGAAACTGTGTGCATATGAATAGCACTGGCGGTCTCCTTGTTGTGTGCAGAGGAGCGAGCTGTCCTGGGGAAGACTGATTGCTGTTAGAATATACTGGGAATGTAGCTGCTGCAGTTTAGCAAGTCACAATTTCACTGGAGGCAACGTCTTTCCATTTGGTATGCTTTCCAATTGGATGTGCAATCCAAAGAGTATTTTTGAGAGATTGTTTTTATCTGGCATTTTATAGCCGTGGCTGAAGGTGTTGTATAGCATCCAATCCTTTATGGCAAGCACGAAGCCCCACAGGTGTTTATCATTCCATATCTCTCACCTATGTTTAAAAGAAGGCTGATCTATTTAGAAGCCTGGGCACACAGTAGGGACATCTGTCTGGTGTGTGCATGCCTCTGCCTCAAGTTAGCAAGGATGGAAACAGTCCTCCAGGCTCACTAATAGCTGCTAATTGCTTCAAGTTTAAAAAATAAATGTGTTTGTATACAAACATGTATGTGTATCTATATGTAATACTTCAAGTGCCTTGAATATCTTTAGCACTGTTTTATTTCAGCATAGTTGATGTTCAAAGTGAAAATCACATACTGACACTTCTTAAAAATTTTAAATGCAGAAACTGAATATTTCTGCAGGTTTGGGGAAAAGGCTTTCCCTTTCACAGGTTTTCTATCACTTTTCCTTCCTTTTTTACATCCCACTTGTGGGATTTCCAGCCATCTGCCAGCCCGTACTGGCTGTAGAATCTGGATACTTATTGAGTCCATGGAGTTCTCCGACAACACTTCAGATTAGCTGCACATGCCTTACTGTGCTGAAGGTGTGTTAAATCCATTGTGTTCAGCATGTGGTCAGTGGGCTATGTGGTATTTGCCTGGTACATATATAGGAGAGATGTGTCCTGGATGTATTAATCTCACAAACCTATTATGGGATGTTTTAGATCTGCTGTGCACAGTATCTCACATATGTCTTTCTGTCTGGATAATCTAGGACAGGAATATGGGAGCCAGCTCCTCTGAATTTCAAATATTAGACAGGTGAATAAATAAATATCAGTTTAAGTGTTAAGAACCTGGTGAGGCTTAATAGCTGCATAAATGATAGGTGTATGAGTTTCAACCTGGCAGTGCTGAAGCAAATCAGAAGTAATGTTGTAAAGTAGAGAGTAGAACGTTTCTTGTAATGTTAATCATGAAAGCATTACGTTTTCAGTCTAAACTGGTAGTCTGTGTTCCCCTAAAGTGAATAGACAGATGAAAACCATCAGAAGCAATTCATTTTCTCCCAGAGACTTACTGCAGGATGCAAAAGGTCTCCCTCTGAATGTACTTCTCTCATCAACGGTAGAAGATGCCTGATTATAGCTTGAGAAGACCCTAACTTTTCAACAGCTAAAATTAGGATGGGTGTATCCCAGCAATTTATATCATTTTAGATTATCTGTATGCAGTTATTTGCTAGTGCATATCTCTTCTAATCAAGTTGATAAGCAAGGCTGTATCCTTAAGCTGTATAACTTTATACCCAAAGTAGGTGTAATATTATGGTGCATAATGCACAGGGAAGGAAGAATATGGAAAATGTTATAAAGCCCTTAAAAGTAAACGATTCCTGTATGTGATGTGTTGTTGAGCAGCGCTTCTAAAAGAATCATCCTGAATCACGGTGCAAAGAAATAAAATGAGAATGCTTAAAAGAAACTTGTTTTTAAAGAGAGGTTGAAAAAACTCAGGCTTGGTTGCTAGGCATATAACATAGGTAAATAACATAGTATATGATGAAAAACGTAAAAAGCAATGAAGAAGGAGCAAAGAAATAGCTATGAGGAGAGAGTAGGAAGAATCCTTATGAATAGAACAGTAAATGATTACTCTGAACTTATTGATTGACTTTCTATTGGATTGATCAATAGTTGTTGAAGGATGTCCAGCACAGCTCTAAGATTGGATAATTCTGTATAAGTTGATCCATTAAGAGAAAATTGTGCCCTCTGTTATGTGTTGAGATTTTATTCTGTTCCCAGGATTGCTCTGGTGCAGCCAGGAGCCACTATCAGCTCCTTTTTTCATAGATAGTACTTAAAATTCATAGAGCTTGCAATGTGAATTGTGTAGTGAGAAAACCTTGGAATATGATATAAAGTGTGAATTTATTTACTGTACCAAAAAGGAGCTCATTTCATGAAAGTAAAGGAAATATTAGCTGCAACTTTGCCATTAAGGTCAACGTCAGTGATGTTCAATTATATAACTCTGCAATAGAGGAGCCAATAATTTCTCCATGGTTGTGCCATGCCTTTTCTTTTAAGTGTTGTCCTATAGATGCTGCAGAATTTGTAACTCTTTCTAAACTCAGGCACAGAGACAACCTGAAAACTGTCTGTAAGAGTTGACTTCCTGACAATTACCTGAACTGCTATGGTATTCTCACATGCACAGCCTATGTTAAAGGACTCAGGGGTCAGGGATTGGCTTTTGTTTTATGTATGTATCTAGTTTATTGATGGCTTGTAGAATTTCTACAGTAAAAATAAATCAGTATTGTTCTGGGGAAAAGATTTTTCAATCAAGTCACGTATCAGGGTTTCTAAAGGAATTGTTCAAGTTGCTGAAAAGAAACTAGAATGCAATATGCTTTAATGAAAATGGGGATTATTTTGCAGAAAATTGTATTTTCAGTGAGAAACGTTGTTTGGAGGAAAAACTTATTTTTTCTCTAAGTAAGAAAATAATGTCAATGTCGTAACTCTTTAGAGTAGCTATGAAAAGGAAGAGCAGAAACATTCTCTGTAAGTTTCCTTGCCAACAAATGAAAAAATTCCACTGAAAATGCAAGAAAGCATAAGCAAACATCTTCACTTATTGCAGGGAAAGTGGAAAAGTCTGGGATGAAAATGTTTCAGTACAGTGTTGCTTATTTGTGGTGGTCTGAGAATTAACGGAGGTATTAAAAATGGCAATGCAATTGCTAGGAATCAACTTTCCTGTAAAATCCCATTATTTTTCAGAAAGCAACATTTATGTGGGCAGACCTAAAGCTGACAGAGGGAGCTAATTATTGCCAAGTCACTCCCGGTTACATGGGGGTAACGTAGTTATCTCGAGTGTGATAACTCAGTGGGTGCATGGAGTCCTGTGCTGGACGTGTCTGACTACCAATGGGGTCTGCGGACACTTCCCAACTCAGTGCAGGCCTAGCTAAGGACTGGATTTTCCCACAGATCCCCAGGTGTCAGGTGAGGGACAGTAATAAAGATGAAACTCTCCAGGATGTGTAGCGTGAAGGTTGCTGGCAGTACTGATGTTACAGTGCTGGTGGCCTGGGGATGCGAGTGAGATCAAGTTTACAGATCTCATATTTTTTATGAGATCAGAATTGATGGAGAAAATGCACAGATAAGCTTTTGGGCATACTCCTGAAATCTTAAGAAACTTGAGGAAGGATTTGGTATGTGAAAAATATCTCCTCCAACTCCCATCCCTCAGACATAGATGTAAGTCTCATAGAACATGTTTCTCCTCCCTATCAATCTTCTTGTGTTCTCCCTGTGTAAACTTGTTGGTGTGTGGCTTTCCTCCCAGAGGTCATGCCAGTTCAGCTCTGCATCCAGTTAACGCTGTCCCCATTTCTCCCTTTTTTGTCTCTGTGAGTGTTTATAGACCCTCAAGGTAACTTTGGCCTGTTTGATTTGAACTGGCTGTAGGTCAGTGCAGAGATGTGTGGATGGGCAATCAATATCCATCACGACTGTTTCTTATGTCTTTATTTTTCTCTGGGTTGGTATAGGAAATCTGTACCACCTTCAGCTGAAGTCCATTTGAAGCGTGGCTCAGACTTTCAGTGCTTCCATGGCAGTGACAGAGCTTATGGGCACATCGAAGTCTTGTGAGTTTTAGAAGAATCTAATATCTGGTTTGAATTTGCCAGCTCTCTCTGGAAGTCCAAGTCCCTTTGGAG